GCACCACTGCACCACTGCCCCACCACTGTACCACCACTGCACCACTGCACCACCACTGCACCACTGCACCACTGCACCACCGCTGCACCACCGCTGCACCACCGCTCCACCGCTGTACCACCGCTGTACCACCACTGCACCACCGCTGCACCACCACTGCACCACCACTGCACCACTGCTGCACCACCACTGCACCACCACTGCACCACCGCTGCACCACCGCTGCACTACCACTGCACCACCACTGCACCACCACTGCACCACCGCTGCACCACCGCTGCACCACCACTGCACCACCACTGCACCACTGCTGCACCACCGCTGCACCTCCGCTCCATCGATTATAATTACGAGGCGCGTTGCATTCACAGTGCCCGGCCTTGGCGGTGAACCCAGCACCCCGCGGAGGAGGCACGTCAAGCAGAAGTCGGCACCCAAGGTATCCACGCACCCCCCAAGACCCTCGCTCTGTGCAGCTGCACAGCGGTGGCTAGGAGAGTGATCACCCCCCCCCCCACCACTCCCCCCACTTCGCGCAAGAAGAGCTCACGAGTGTTGTCGCATCGCATCGACGCCACAAATCTGGCTGTCGCCTGATGAAGCTGGTTGTGATCACTGGCGAAACGTCGTACTCGGATTGTAAATGTTGTGGCTTGGCTCTAGTGACGCATTGGCCACGTTTTGTTTACGTGACAACCCTTACTAGTTGGCTGTGTCGCGTGATAGCGGGTTTAACGACACATTTATATATTTACGTGATCTAACCAAAACCTCTATTATGGATGACGAGGAGATGTTAACTACCTGAGCTATCCAGGCCACTTCTGAAAAAGAGCTACATAGAACACAGTGGGCCTTACCCGGTAAAATAAAAAAGCTTTAGTTTAGTTTAAAAGTTTAAACAACACTTAGCAAAGTTTTCAATGAGCGTTTAAAAATATAAAAATTTGGTAAATGTGTACGCAATGGGCACCACTTTCTTCGTTAGCACTGACATAGCGGAAGAATATTGCGCTGTCCTCATTCACGCTTTTCAATCAACTCTATTTTCCCTGCCCACTGGGTCGCAGCAAGGGGTCACCGTGGCTAGCTGAGGTCAAATGCTGTGTATACCGATCACCGTTTATTAAACACTCACTTTTCAACAAACCGTTTTTTTTTTAATTTTCATGCTGTGGTTTTCACACCTGATGATGATTGCTTGTGTTGCAGTCGAAACGTCGTGAGAATTGTATTGTTTTATTTTTTCTACGTGACTTTACCGAAAGAACCAAGAATATGAATCCCTGCAGTCACGAAAGCTTTAAATCGAAATTTAAACCCTGTTTTCATTCGCAACTCGTTCACTCTGCCGTGAACGTGTTGCCGGTGGCGACGGTAGCTGGCGACGGCGATTGCCGGCTACGGCGGTCGCCGTAACGTTGCCTTGGCGTGTCGCAGCCTTTAATGCAGAGGAGCGATGTGTTCGCAGATCGAGGTCGTGTACGAGAACAGCCAGGGAGGCGTCTGCCTGCCGTCCGTCCCCATGGAGAACGAGGAAAACCTGACGCTCCACAGGAGGTGTGGCTTATCTCTCACTCTGTCGACTTCTCCCTTCTCTTTCCTGTTACTTTTTCGTTTTGCCCACGCATTACATCCTTGACCCTGCTCCGCGCTTAATCCTAGCCCACCACCCTGTGCGTCATGATGCTAGGCTGTCTGTGTTTTAGCCTACGGCGAGTTTGATCAGCGGTGAAAGCTTCCCCTTATTTGTCTTGCTTGCCGCAGTCACATCATGACGGAGCTCCTGGAGACGGAGAGGGTCTACGTGGAGGAGCTGCAGACAATACTGGAGGTGAGGCGGCGCAAACGTTGTCTTCTGAGCAGGACGAACGTCCCTCGCGGCGGTCGATGAGCTTGCACCAACCGGGGGGCTTTTGAGGAGCAGTCCTCAAGCTTCGCCGCCATTGCGCGAGTGACATCGTTGATGGCGGGGGGGGGGGGCATCAACAGGTGGCCATGGCGACAAGCTTGACTGCAACTTTCAAGTATTTTTAATGCTTTCCAAGCAAGGTGTTTATTCATGCGTTCGCTCCGTTCGTCCGATGGTAAAGGGCAGGGGAGTGTCTTGGGTGGCAGGCACTGATGACGCCTGTAACCGTTATTCAATGTGAACACGGCTTCAGTAAATATTTTTGCGTGTTGCTGTTAGGGACTTGCCCTCTTGAAAACCGGGCCACGCGAATCAAAGCATTGGCCAAAAACAAAAATAGGGGCTCAAACGAAAACAAAAATAACGGTTTGGAAATGTGCAAATGCATTGTTTCCCTTATTTTGTTCGGCATTTGTGGGGATTGCAAATCGATGTCGAGATTCAATATCCATTCCGACTGCTTAGTGGGAGCAGCCGCGTGGATTTGTTTTGGATCGCCTCCCCCCCCCCCTTTGAATGCTCCGATTGGAGCGGTCGTTCACCGTCTTGAGATATCCCACCACCACCACCACAGTCACGAGCTGGACTCTCGTTAGATTTTCCACTCGTGGGGAAAGTGTCCCACATCTTCCACGGAGCGTCCGGGTTCCGACTCGAGGAGGACCAGGATCTTCCTCGGTAGGTCAGATCCTGCTTGGAGGATTGTGATGATATTTATTTTGTCCTGGCAGCTACTCACCGGCTTCCGTACCGCAACTTGTTGTCGCATACAAAGACCCATGTCGGAGAGCACTCCGCACTCCGTCCGCACTCGTGATTTTATTCGTCGTTTGAGGATTGTTGGCAATCCGGGGCGGCCAGCCCGCTGTTCAAAATGACTTTCGTTATTTTCGAACGTCTTTCTCACTTCGTCTTTACTTGGTTGATTGTTTAAGGGGGCTTTAAAAATTAAAATTATTATTACTTCCTCCCCTCCCTTGCGTTACACCCAGATGTGTAGTGTTTGGGACTGAGGTCCACGGATGTATGTATGTGTGTACGTGGCCAACCGTGCTAATCAAGGTGTGGAGCAGGGGCGGTTTCTTCATTAGGGCGATTGGGCGACGCACCGCCAATGTCATTCAACCACAGAGTCACTGCAGCCTCTGGATATAGTCCAATCAGCGTCACGTCACGTTCTGTGGAGTACCGCCTCTTTTTGGGCGATTTCACTCCGGCTGAGAATCGCCCCGAGTGGCCCCATAGACTTACATTCAAAGATGATTTTTTTCGAACGGGGGCGCTGCAATGCATTCTCTATGGCTTCCGGGAAGGCTCGCCCTAACGTGCTTACGTCATCATACGTGCTTACGTCATCATACATAAGCACGTTTCACCCAACAATATAATTTGTGGCCACCTAGTGGAATCTTTAATAAAATAAACTTGTGTTGTTTGTTTTAATAGTGAGTATAGAAACAAACAAGATGTATTGTAAGAGTCACTTTATTTTTCATTAATATTAAAGAAGTGAAGTTGCCTTTACATGCTTAAGCTGTTAATTTATCCATTGCATGGGTGGACCTTATCCTAATCAATCATCCAGACATTTGCCCCCCCTGAGAGATTTTGCAGGAGCCGCCACTGGAGGGGAGGGAAGGATTTTTCTGTAGCCCACCCCCTCCTCGCGTCCCAGTTCGTGCTCCTATTGAAATACCGTAAAAAATGTATTTTAAAAATGATTGTCAACAAGCCGAGCAGAAAGTTTTGGATAGAGGTTGAGAGTGACGATGTCACTTCTTGTGGGGGTGGTCCAGGGCTACGCGGACGCCATGGAGACGGAGGAAATGGCGGCGCCCGTCCCCGCCGGCGCCAGGGAGAAGAAGGACATCCTGTTCGGCAACATGGCCGACATCTACCACTTCCACAGCAGGTGGTGGAGCCATTCTCTGTCCACTGTTGGATGAACACTTTTTTTTGCTTGCCTTCTCTGCCCCGCTGCAAATGATCCACAGCCATGGCCAGGATGCACGGCACCTGTGGCAGTTTCTACATGAACCTGGCTTGGGCCTCCCCTCGGCTGACTCGTGCTAAAGTCAGCATAGTTACACCTCCGCTTATAAATTAAGGTGCCTTGGAGCACTTTACATATAATGCAGTTTACACGTACGTACGGCCAACAGTTCAAATGTATGAAATACAAGACATTTGGTGTTTCGTAACAAAGCAATGTTACCCTCTGCAATTTAATTGTTACCTCGTAAGAGATTATGCAATGCTTAAACGAGTTGGTGAAAATGAAGGAATAAGATGGTAAGAGCTGATAGATACACATCTCAACCCCTTGCATTTGCGCTGACCCAGAGAACATCAAACGTTGGTCCAACGGTTCCAACCGATTGCCAACGTTGGTTCAACGTTAGTCCAACGGTTCCAACTGATTGCTAATGTTGTTCAATGTTCGTCCAACGGTTCCAACTGATTGCTAATGTTGGTTCAAAGTTGGTCCAACGGTTCTAACCGATTGCCAACGTTGGTTCAACGTTAGTCCATTGGTTCCAACCGATTGCCAATGTTGGTTCAATGTTCGTCCAACGGTTCCAACTGATTGCTAATGTTGGTTCAAAGTTGGTCCAACGGTTCTAACCGATTGCCAACGTTGGTTCAACGTTAGTCCAACGGTTCCAACCGATTGCCAATGTTTCTGGCATATATTACCAGAGCATGTTTTTTGTTCGCATGCTCACCACAAGTATGTGTGGTTAATGCAGATATGATTCTTTGCAAAAAGTTTGTGTTTGGTGTTTTAACGTCTTAACACAACTGTTTTATTGCCAGAAAGGGTAACACCTATTATTATATTTAACACGTATGTTTTCGCGACCAATATCATCCATAATAGAGGTTTTGGGTTAGATCGCGTAAATATATAAATGTGTGGTCACCACATCTACACCTCTATATAAGGAACGAAACAGGTGGACTTCTTTACAAATCTGGCTGTCGCCTGATGAAGCTAGTTGTAATTACTGGCAAAACGTCGTACTCGGATTGTAAATGTTGTGGCTTGGCTCTCCAACACACCGGCGTGCTGTACGAGTGACGAATTGGCCACGTTCTGTTTACGTGACAACCCTTACTAGTTGGCTGTGTCGGGTGGTGGCGGGTTTTAACGACACATCTACATATTTACGCGATTTAACAAAAAAAAACTCTATTATGGATCTATTCTTATACAGTAAAACCTTGGATTGCGAGTGTTTTGCAAGACGAGCAAAAATGTTAAATAAATATTAATTTGATAAACGAGCGAGGTCTTGCAATACGAGTAGCACGTGCATACGCTTTGTCTGCCGAGCGTCACGTGATCACAACTCATATACGAGTGCTTTGATATACGAGTGCTTTGGATTACAAGCACGTTTCCGGAACGAATTATGCTCGCAATCCAAGGTTTTACTGTATGTTGATACTGGCAAAGGAGGTCCCACGATGTAATCAAACTTAGTGGGCGCGTTCCGCGAGGGGGTGCTCGCTAACTGAGCTCCGCGCTTCTGCTGCTGCTGCTTCAGTGTCTTCCTCAAGGAGCTGGAGGATTATACGGAGCGGCCGGAAGAGGTTGGGAGTTGCTACCTGAAGCGGGTAAGGCGGTGGTGGTGTAGTGACTACATTATCAGTGGTGTAGTGACTACATTATCAGTGGTGTAGTAACTACATTATCACTGGCGAAGTGACTACATTATCAGTGGTGTAGTAACTACATTATCAGTGGCGTAGTGACTACACTAAGTGGAGTAGTGACTACATTATCAGTGGCATAGTAACTACATTATCAGTGGTGTAGTAACTACATTATCAGTGGTGTAGTGACTACACTATTAGTGGAGTAGTGACTACATTATCAGTGGCATAGTAACTACATTATCAGTGGTGTAGTAACTACATTATCAGTGGTGTAGTGACTATACTATTAGTGGTGTAGTAACTACATTATCACTGGCGAAGTGACTACATTATCAGTGGTGTAGTAACTACATTATCAGTGGCGTAGTGACTACACTAAGTGGAGTAGTGACTACATTATCAGTGGCATAGTAACTACATTATCAGTGGTGTAGTAACTACATTATCAGTGGTGTAGTGACTACACTATTAGTGGAGTAGTGACTACATTATCAGTGGCATAGTAACTACATTATCAGTGGTGTAGTAACTACATTATCAGTGGTGTAGTGACTATACTATTAGTGGAGTAGTGACTACATTATCAGTGGCATAGTAACTACATTATCAGTGGTGTAGTAACTACATTATCAGTGGTGTAGTGACTATACTATTAGTGGCGTAGTGACTACATTATCAGTGGCATAGTAACTACATTATCAGTGGTGTAGTAACTACATTATCAGTGGTGTAGTGACTACACTATTAGTGGAGTAGTGACTACATTATCAGTGGCATAGTAACTACATTATCAGTGGTGTAGTAACTACATTATCAGTGGTGTAGTGACTACACTATTAGTGGAGTAGTGACTACATTATCAGTGGCATAGTAACTACATTATCAGTGGTGTAGTAACTACATTATCAGTGGTGTAGTGACTATACTATTAGTGGCGTAGTGACTACATTATCAGTGGCGTAGTGACTACACTATTAGTGGGGTAGTAACTACATTATCAGTGGCGTAGTGACTACATTATCAGTGGCGTAGTGACTACATTATCAGTGGTGTAGTAACTACATTATCAGTGGCGTAGTGACTACATTATCAGTGGCGTAGTGACTACACTATCAGTGGCGTAGTGACTACATTATCAGTGGTGTAGTGACTACATTAGCAGTGGGGTAGTAACTACATTATCAGTGGCGTAGTAACTACATTATCAGTGGCGAAGTGACTACATTATCAGTGGTGTAGTGACTACATTATCAGTGGCGTAGTAACTACATTATCAGTGGCATAGTAACTACATTATCAGTGGTGTAGTAACTACATTATCAGTGGTGTAGTGACTACACTATTAGTGGAGTAGTGACTACATTATCAGTGGCATAGTAACTACATTATCAGTGGTGTAGTAACTACATTATCAGTGGTGTAGTGACTATACTATTAGTGGCGTAGTGACTACATTATCAGTGGCGTAGTGACTACACTATTAGTGGGGTAGTAACTACATTATCAGTGGCGTAGTGACTACATTATCAGTGGCGTAGTGACTACATTATCAGTGGCGTAGTGACTACATTATCAGTGGTGTAGTAACTACATTATCAGTGGCGTAGTGACTACATTATCAGTGGCGTAGTGACTACACTATCAGTGGCGTAGTGACTACATTATCAGTGGTGTAGTGACTACATTAGCAGTGGGGTAGTAACTACATTATCAGTGGTGTAGTGACTACATTAGCAGTGGGGTAGTAACTACATTATCAGTGGTGTAGTGACTACATTATCAGTGGCGTAGTAACTACATTATCACTGGCGAAGTGACTACATTATCACTGGCGAAGTGACTACATTATCAGTGGCATAGTGACTACACTATTAGTGGAGTAGTGACTACATTATCAGCTCAGGGTGTGTGGCCATCGGTCAGGTGGGGCCCCAATATTTGATTCGCGCAATTTGCGCCAAACGTTCCTGCTCTAATTAAATTAAAATAAAACGTGGACACCAAAATGAAAGCATTATCATAAACAAGTAAATGTAAACGGAATTTTACATAAGTGTTGTTGTTCTTTTACACGGCTGTTGAAAACAAATCACGTGGTGGTTGTCAAGGGGGGCCCCCCCCCCCCCCCCCCCACTCGTAGCTTTGGCCAACAGGGGGCGGGGGGGGCTATCTGAGTAAGGGTCGCCGCGGTGGCGAGATGTTGACTCCCTCGCCTGGTATGCAGGAGGTCGGGTTCGATCCAGACCCTGATGCCTGCTGTATATTTCGGGTTTGCATGTTCTTTGCCTCCAAACCTTTGGCATCTACAGCGCCGCGTTGGTCGCCACGGACGTAGCGGCAACGGTGTCACGTGGTCAACAGCGATGTGACGTGATCAACAGCGGTGTCACATGATCGATGGTGTCACGTGATCAACAGTGGTGTCACGTGATCAACAGCGGTGTCACGTGATCAACAGCGGTGTCACGTGATCAACAGCGGTGTCGTGATCAGCAGCGGTGTGACGTGATCAACAACGGTGTCACGTGATCGATGGTGTCACGTGATCAACAACGGTGTGACGTGATCGCAAGTTTTGGTTGCGCGGGGGACAATCCGTTGCCCTCTCCGCTGCGTCCCGTGTGCGTGTGCAGAAGGAAGATTTCCGCATCTACGAGAAGTACTGCCAGAACAAGCCGCAGTCCGAGACGCTGTGGAGACAAATCTCCGACGCGCCATTCTTCCAGGTGTGTGTGTGCGGTATGTGGTGTATGTGTGTGGTGTGTGGTGTGTGCGTTTCACACGCGTGTGTGCGGGAAGCTATGGTGTCATGGTTTACGCGCCGCGCCAGCTGCTACGCTCACAGCCAACGTCGGCGACGAATGTGTGGACCGATCCTGGGCCTCCCCTGGGTCGACTCGGCCTTAAATGAGGCATTCATGCTCTGTGTCAACATGTAAATTGGGGAGACAAAGGCGGCCGGGCGTGGTGCTGGCCACTCACACACCCTCTTGGGCATACGGGTCTTAACATGCGCTCGCTCTTAACAGCACTTGCCGCGACAGTCTGTTAAAGGTTTCTCGGGGGAATCTTTGTCTGCGCGTCCCGTTAACCCACAATGGCTGGGCTGCAGCTCGCTAAAGTCACCGCACATTCTGCGGATTACCGGACGCAACTCATTGCCCCGTATTTCGCATTAAAAGGTCGTGTGTGAGTCTGACAATCGGGTAGCTTTGCTTGTACGCTGTGAGCGTGTGCGCGCGTGTCTGCGTCGTGTTTGCGTCGTGTGTGCGAGTGTGTGTGTGTGTGTGCGCGTGTGCACGACCAGAATTGTCCAAACTTTATTGACGCCCGGCACGAGTTCCGGGGCTTCTTGCCATCAGGAAGCGCCGAACGATCCACAAAATACGGCACTCACTCCCCCTTCCCTGACCTGCTGTGCCGGCTGTCCATCATGGCGGTGGTGGAGGTGAGGGAGGGAGGGGAGCATCCCTCCTTTTTGTTTCTGTCTCTGTGCGCGTGCCAAACACCGCGCGCGCCGTTCGTCTCCCCGGCTGCCGCAGGAATGTCAGAAGAAGCTCGGCCACAAGCTGGCGCTGGACTCGTACCTCCTGAAGCCCGTGCAGCGCATCACACGCTACCAGCTGCTGCTCAAGGTACGGGCCCTCTCTTCCCCACGTGTTGCTTGACCCTTGACCCCCCCCCCCCGCGTCCCTCCGCCGCGACCCATCGCAGATGACGAGGACGACGATCACGATGACGACGACGATCATGACGACAATGACGATTACGTTGATGATGATGACATCGACGGCGATGACGACAAGAATGACATCGATGATGACATCAACGATGATGTCGACGATGACGTCGATGATGATGATGACGACGACGGTGACGACGAGGAGGGCGGCAACTTTGGTGTGTGTGTGCGCGTGGTGCTGCGGCGGTGCAGGAGCTCCTGAAGGGCACGAAGGACGTGCAGCACGCCCTGGAGCTGGAGGAGGCCCTGGCCAGCATGCAGAGCCTCCTCAAGTCCCTCAACGACTCCATGCACCAGATTTCCATCACCGGATACAAGGTGCACGCTCGTTATTGATCGCCGGCTCCTGAGCGCCGTTTGAGTGGCAAATCACTTGGGGCTTTTTTTGTTGTTGAGAATCATGACAATGGAGCTTGCCCTGTCGACATTGATGTTGATGACGGAGATGTTGATGATGTTGATGATGGTGATGATGGTGATGATGGTGATGGTGATGATGATGGTGATGATGATGGTGATGATGATAGTGATGATGGTGATCATAGTGATGACGGTGATGATGGTGATGATGGTGATCATAGTGATGATGGTGATGATGGTGATCATAGTGATGATGGTGATCATAGTGATGACGGTGATGTTGATGACGGTGATGATGTTGATGACGGTGATGTTGATGATGGTGATGATGACGGTGATGATGGTGATGATGACGGTGATGATGGTGATGATGGTGATCATAGTGATGACGGTGATGTTGATGACGGAGATGTTGATGATATTGATGATGATGGTGATGATGATGGTGATGTTGATGATGGTGATGATGGTGATGTTGATGATGGTGATGATGATGATGGTGATGTTGATGACGGAGATGTTGATGATGGTGATGATGGTGATGTTGATTATGGTGATGTTGATGATGGTGATGATGGTGATGTTGATGATGGTGATGTTGATGATGGTGATGATGGTGATGTTGATGACGGAGATGTTGATGACGGAGATGATAGTGATGATGGTGATGTTGATGATGGTGATGTTGATGATGGTGATGTTGACGACGGCAGTGTTGATGACGCCAACGACGACGATGACTACACCAGGGTAAGGGGCCGTCCGTAACGTGAAAAAAAACGCTTCTAGGAAGCTCGCCGGGATTTCCCCGCGGCCTAAAACAAGGATTGCGATTCGCGACTGTTGAACGACGAACCGGTTTCCGCAGGGAAACCTCCTGGAACTGGGCAAGCTGCTGATGCAGGGCTCCTTCAGCGTGTGGACCGACCACAAGAAGGGCGCCAACAAGGTGAAGGACTTCCCGCGCTTCAAGCCCATGCAGCGGCACGTCTTCCTCTACGAGAAGACGCTGCTCTTCTGCAAGCGGCGCGAGGAGACGACCGAGGGCTACGAGAAGACGCCCTCCTACGGCTACAAGCACTCGCTGCAGGTGCCGGGTCGTTCGTCCCCGTTAGCACCCCCCCCTCGCCCCCCCCCCCCTCACCCTCCCCTCGCCCCCCCCCTCGCTCCCCCCTCGCCCCCCCCCCCTCGCCCCCCCCTCGCCCCCCCCCTCGCCCCCCCAAATCGGCGAGTGGGCGCTGAAAGTTTCGCCAGTGAGGCCAGAAATTCCGATGGCCTCTCTCTCTCTCTCGCTCTGTGTGTTTCCGTGACACAATGGAAGGCAGCATAGGAGTGTGCTGAACTTTTTTCGCACCGTACGTAGCCAACCGTGCTAATCAGTGAGTCTCTGTGTGAGTCTATGAGTTTCTGTGTGAGTCTGTGGGTCTCTGAGTGAGTCTGTGGGTCTCTGTGTGAGTCTGTGGGTCTCTGTGTGAGTCTGTGGGTTTCTGCGTGAGTCTGTGGGTCTCTGTGTGAGTCTGTGCGTCTCTGTGTGAGTCTGTGGGTCTCTGTGTGAGTCTGTGGGTTTCTGTGTGAGTCTGTGGGTCTCTATGTGAGTCTGTGGGTCTCTCTGTGGGTCTACGGGTCTCTGTGTGAGTCTGTGGGTCTCCGTGTGAGTCTATGAGTCTCTGTGTGAGTATGTTGGTCTCTGTGTGAGTCTGTGGGTCTCTGTGTGAGTCTGTGGGTCTCTGCGTGAGTCTGTGGGTCTCTGTGTGAGTCTGTGTGTCTCTGTGTGAGTCTGTGGGTCTTTGTGTGGGTCTGTGGGTCTCTGTGTTAGTTTATGGGTCCCTCTGAGACAACAAACTGAACACAAATATCAGTTCTAAAGAAATGCGTCTTCAATCTAGATCAGTGGTTCTTCCTAACCTGGGGTGCATTGCATTCCCTGGGGGGGGCGCGCGACGCGGCCGGATTATTTTAGAAGGCAAATCATCGAAAACACAAATTAAGCGCGGGAAACCTAAGTCGCAACTTACTTCGTTTCACCAAACCCTGCGCAGTTGTTAACGTTGTGCATTGTGTATTAACGATGGAGAACCAACGGGTTGCAAGGTTAAGAGCCACTGCTCTAGATGATTTAAAAGTGCGCACACAGCTTGAAGGGACATCCACATCGGGGCCCCCCGACCGGTGCCGACCCCTGGCTCCCAAGACCCCCCCCCCTCCCCTCCCTCCCCTTGCACCTCCGTCCTGGCTGCGATTTCGCGACAATGAGCGACGAGTCTCCCTGTCACTCCGCCGCGGCGTTGCAGATGAGCTCCGTGGGGATCACGGAGAACGTGCGAGGGGACAGCCGCAAGTTTGAGATCTGGTGTTCACGGCGGGAGCAAGTCTACATCATCCAGGTGAGCCACGCCGCGCGATGGGATCGGCCCGTGGCGAGGGTTTGCGTGGTTTTTCACGCTGCCGATGCCTCCGTGCGTGTGTGTGTTTGTGTGGGGAGCGGTGGTGTGGCGGTTAGCGCTGCGATGCGCCACGAACCCGGTGACCCGAGTTCGATTCCCGCTCATGGCCAACGCCGGTGACGATTATCTAAACAGGTCCCAGCCTCAAATGAGTAACTGGTGAGGTGTGTGGAGACAAAGGCGGTCGGACGTGGTGCTGGATACCCACCCCCTCGTGTGCCGTGCTGGCTTTCATAGGTGCTTGCTAACAGTCTGTGAAGGCTACACGGGGGATATTTTGCTTGTGTGCGTTTCATGTGTGACATGGTACAAACAAGCCAATGAGAACCGAATCTTGAGTTTATGTACGGACGTTGAACTTCCTTCCCGCCGTACGTAGCCAACCAAACAGGTGTTAAAATTTTGATTGAAAGCTTTCGTAACTGCAGGGAATATTATTATATTTTTATTATTTTATTATTTCCCTTCTACATGACTTTATCGAAATAACCAAGAACAGGTGTTAAGATGTCAAAACAACAAACAGAAACCTTTTGCAGGGAATCGTGTCTGCATTAACCACACATACAAAAAAACATAATCTGGTAGTCTATGCTGATGCATTGTCTTTGAAACTGATTGATCCACACCAGAGACAGCTTTCTTTAGAGCCCAGTCTCAAACGGCGCTAGACCAGAGGACGCCAAACGGCGACCAGCACAAGGACAATGCCACTTTCATCTTCTTGGTTCTTTCGGTAAAATCACGTAGAATGGAAATAATAAAATAATAAAAATAAAACATAATAAAATAATTCTCACGACGTTTCGGCCACAACGCAAGCAGCCGTCCTCAGGTGGAGAACAGGTCTGTCGAGGAGACAGAGTCTACGTGACTTTACTGAAAGAACCAAGAAGATGAATCCCTGCAGTCACGAAAGCTTTAAATCGACAATGTCACTATCAGTGCTTTGAGAGCTCGCGGTGAGCAGCTACATCATGGGACCCCCCTTGCCAGTATCAAAATATAAGAATAGATTTTACCCTTTCTAGCAATAAATCAGTTGTGTTAAGATGTTAAAACACCAAACAGATAACCTTTTGCAAGGAATCAATGTCTGCATTTATCATCGTCGGAAGTGCCGTGATGATGAATGTAGTTCGTAGTCGACCGCTCAGAAACTGCGTCACGACGGCACGCCTTTTTCCGCGTTGTGCGAAAAGCGTTCCCGAATTGGGGAGAAAAGGGCCGTCAATCGCGAAAGCGCGTCGCGATGTTCACACCGCGACGCGTTAAACGAGGACCCCTGCCCCGTTAATGGCAACTCACTTGGGTAGCTTGTGGATAGTCCAGCAGGTGGCGCGGGTGCCCGCGCAGAAAGGACTGTGTACAGGGACTCCCCTCGACTTGCAAACAAATCGCCTTACGAACTTTCAGAGATACGAACAAACCTGGTCCGTATGTCCAGTTGCCTGTTCGGATCGATAGGTGGCGGTGGTGGCATCTACATCTGCAGAACGTGAAGAACCAGTGGCATCTACATCTGCAGAACGTGAAGAACCAGTGGCATCTACATCTGCTGAACTTGAAGAACCAGTGGCATCTACATCTGCTGAACGTGAAGAACCAGTGGCATCTACATCTACAGAACGTGAAGAACCAGTGGCATCTACATCTCCAGAACATGAAGAACCAGTGGCATCTACATCTGCAGAACGTGAAGAACCAGTGGCATCTACATCTACAGAACATGAAGAACCAGTGGCATCTACATCTGCAGAACATGAAGAACCAGTGGCATCTACATCTGCAGAACATGAAGAACCAGTGGCATCTACATCTGCAGAACATGAAGAACCAGTGGCATCTATATCTGCAGAACGTGAAGAACCAGTGGCATCTACATCTGCAGAACGGGAAGAACCAGTGGCATCCACATCTGCAGAACATGAAGAACCAGTGGCATCTACATCTCCAGAACATGAAGAACCAGTGGCATCTATATCTGCAGAACGTGAAGAACCAGCGGCATCTACATATGCAGAACGTGAAGAACCAGTGGCATCTACATCTGCAGAACGTGAAGAACCAGCGGCATCTACATATGCAGAACGTGAAGAACCAGTGGCATCTACATATGCAGAACATGAAGAACGAGTGGCATCCACATCTACAGGAGATTATACAGCTTGTAAAGCCATTCCCCATGTTTAGTGTACACGCCGTACAGCGTGACAGACCTTTACTCATTGGCTGTGTCGGGTGGTGGCGGGTTTATCGACACAACAATTATATTTCCGCGATCTAGCCCATAAAAAATCTATGTTATGGACTGTAGCTTGTGTCTCGAATTTGCAACGTATGGAGTAGATGCGGGCTCATTGGCCTGGTTGTCAATGTTCTGATGCGGTTCATGGTTCCACCAGTGTCTTTGAGGAATGCCATTGGTGTGTCACTGCCAATGGTGTGTCACTATTAATGGTGTGTCACTATCTTCTTGGTTCTTTCGGTAAAGTCACGTAGAATGGAAACAATAAAAATAATAAAATAAAACATAATAAAATAATTCTCACTACGTTTCGGCTATAACGCAAGCAGCCGTCTTCAGGTGAAGAATGAAACACTGCCAAGCTTGGAGCGTATATGTAAGCTGGGTTGGAGGTGAAAGGTGTGTCACCGCCAATGGGTGTGTCGCTGTTGTGCCCGCAGGCCCCGTCCAACGAAGAGAAGTCTGCGTGGGTGAGCGAGATACGGAAGCTGCTCACCATGCAGCTGCAGGCCTGCAAAGGTGGGACGACGCACCCCGTCGCTCGCAAATCCACGTGCCCAGGGCATCGCTTCAGGGTGGCCTAGGAGATGTTGACTACCTCGCCTCTCAGCGGGATATCCCCATAGGGGTGGCTAGGAGATGTTGACTCCCTTGCCTCTCAGTGGGATGTCCACATAGGGATGGTTAGGAGATGTTGACTACCTCTCCTCTCAGCGGGATGTCCCCATAGGGGTGGCTAGGAGATGTTGACTTCCTCGCCTCTCAGTGGGATGGCCCCATAGGGGTGGCTAGGAGATGTTGACTACCTCGCCTCTCTGCGGGATGTCCCCATAGGGGTGGCTAGGAGATGTTGACTCCCTTGCCTCTCAGTGGGATGTCCACATAGGGATGGTTAGGAGATGTTGACTACCTCTCCTCTCAGCGGGATGTCCCCATAGGGGTGGCTAGGAGATGTTGACTACCTCGCCTCTCAGTGGGATGTCCCCATAGGGGTGGCTAGGAGATGTTGACTACCTCGCCTCTCTGTGGGATGTCCCCATAGGGGTGGCTAGGAGATGTTGACTACCTCGCCTCTCAGCAGGATGTCCACGTTGGGGTGGCTAGGAGATGTTGACTACCTCGCCTCTCAGCAGGATGTCCCCATAGGGGTGGCTAGGAGATGTTGACTACCTCGCCTCTCAGTGGGATGTCCCCATAGGGGTGGCTAGGAGATGTTGACTTCCTCTCCTCTCAGTGGGATGTCCCCATAGGGGTGGCTAGGAGATGTTGACTACCTCGCCTCTCAGTGGGATGTCCCAATTGGGGTGGCTAGGAGATGTTGACTACCTCGCCTCTTAGCGGGATGTCCCCATAGGGGTGGCTAGGAGATGTTGACTACTTCGCCTGGGAAACAGGAGGTCGTGGGTTCGACCCCCAAGTGCACTCTTGAGGAGCAAGTGTGCACCTCGTCGGAAAACTGCCGACGTTTTTCTTTTGCTTTTGTACACGTGTGCGCCGTTTGACGGCAGCCCACGCCGTCGACTTGCCGACGAAGGGGTAGCTTTGTTTTGTCCAGCCTGGTGGAAGGCGGGGGGGGGGGGGGGGTGAGATACGGGCAGGTGAATCGAGTTTAACACGTAGGCTTTCGCGGCCAATATTATTCATAATAAAGGTTTTTTGGGTTAGATCGCGTTATTTATAAATGTGTCGTAACCCTCCACCACCCGACACGGCCAAACAGTAAAAAAAAGTGTCACGTTGACAAAAGACAAATAGTTCACTGCTTTAGCCCACCGGTGTGTTGAAGAGTTTTTTTATACGACGTGTCGCTGGTAATTACATCCAGCATCATCGGGCAATTCGCCAGAATAGTGAAGCCCTCACTTGCTCCCGGTCTTAAATCGAGCAGCAGCTGCAGGGTGACGTCATCATTTCACTCATTCAGATGTAGTGATTTGATGCGGAGAAAGGGGGGGATTGCAATAATATAATAGATTGGTAATCAGTCAATTGTTATGATTAGTAATGAGTTGTAGATTAGTAATTAGTTGTAATGTGTGGTATTGTAATTATATGCTACATTAGTAATCGGTTATTTGGTATGTGTTTAAATTTTGATTTACAGCTTTCGTGACTGCAGGGATTCATCTTCTTGGTTCTTTCGGTAAAGTCACGTAGAAGGGAAATAATAAAATAATAAAAATAAAACATAATAAAACAATTCTCACGACGTTTCGGCCACAACGCAAGCAGCCGTCCTCAGGTGAAGAACAGGTCTGTCGGAAAGACAGCGTCTGAATGAGCACAACCAAGCTTGGCAGCGTATATTTAACCTGAGGATGGCTGCTTGCGTTGTGGCCGAAACGTCGTGAGAATTGTATTTTATCATGTTTTATTTGTATTATTTTATTATTTCCCTTCTACGTGACTTTACCGAAAGAACCAAGAAGATAGTATGTGTTTCCCCTATAAGGAATCGACCCTCCCCGAGAGGTGGGGCCTGAACTCGCAAACGCTTCCATCGCGAAGTTTCGCACCGTGCGGTAACGATCCCCATGTTCTTGCCGTTGCAGAAGAAGTCAAGCAAGTTTACTGCACGCCGTCTTCTCCCATACTCAACCGAGGGTAAATCTCTCTCTGGAAATCGTCTCCAAGCCTTCCCGTAAATCACGCTTGACCTTCTGTGTGTGTGAGGCCACGCCCCTCTACCCCGTTTGCCACCGCCCACTGTGAAAACAGACTCCGCTGTTCCTCCTCCGTGCAGCATCGGTGTCGCGGCCCTGATGCGGCCTCTTTCTCCCCATCCTCATCTCTCCTGACCCCCTTTGGTCCTGTTTTTCCATTCAGGATCCAGCGTTGGCGAGATGTTAACCACCTCGCCTGGTAAGCAGGAGGTCGTGGGTTCGATCCCGACCCTGACGCCTGCTGTATATTTGGAGTTTGCGTCTCTCTCTCTCTCTCTCTGCCTGTGGTCGCGTGGATTTTTCGCCGCGTCCTCCGGTTTTTCCTTTCACATTTAGAATCGACATCACGCATTTAGAGTATTTGGTTGCTTTACATTTCCACGCGATAAGCCACTTCATTCGGCTATCATTTCCAACACACCGGTGTGCTGTACTAGTAACGAATTGGCATGTTTTGTTTACGTGACAAACGCTTACTAATTGGCTGTGTCGGATGGTGGCGATCTAACCCAAAAAAAAAAACCTTTATTATGGAGCGGTGGATATAAATGAGCTCACAATGTCGCCACCGCCTCTGTCGTCAACGCTGTCAGGCGGACGTGGCAGAAATAGAAATCGGTTAAGGGGCCCGAACATTATCTACTTTGCATAACCCCCGAACTCGGAAAGTGAAAATTGACCGCCACTTACATCGTAAAAATATTTCCCAACACTTAAATGAGGTAAGTTTTATTCTTTCTTCTTTCCCCCTGCCCAACTTTGCCTTGCGAGTCTTGCGTCAGAGTTGAACGTGGCACGGCGAACCTCAACTTTGTTTCCGGAAAAGATAACTTTTTAACGGGCAGTCGGTAGATAAAAAACAATACTTTTAGAAGCGTGACAACAGCGCTTTCAGAGTCGCCGTTGCCATTACTGCGGAGAGGGGATAAAGCGCAGCTATTTCGGGCGGCAATAGCACGCCAGCAATAGCGCCGGGCAATGTCAAGTCGTGGTTGATCGATGGTGCAGCACTCGCTGATTCACCCCTAGGTCAATCACGGGTGGCCTGAAATCCAGATTCTGACTCAGAACCTGAGCAGTGACAATTTAGGGCGTTGTAACAACCCGCGTTCCACTGAGCCATCCCATCTTGCAAGGTTTAAAAAAAACCGTTCAATTTGTTGCCTGGCTGTTAAAGTAAACTCTTAGCCCCAAGGCTCGGTGAGGCTTTTCTAGATAAAAAAAAAAGTACGGTGATATTAACCATTGTTGTCACGCACAAAAAAGCAATGGCCTATTTATTCTGACGTGAGGCACCCAGTTGCTCCCTAGCTATACGCGCTCGCCTCCTCGTAACGCTCGCATCACGACCGCCGTGCTTGCTGTTCCCATTGCTGTTCCCACGGAATTTCACTCGTTGATTCCTCCGCCCGTGTCGAGGTATCCTGTTCAACCAAGCAAAGCCGTGCGTGTTTCCACGTTCCGCGAACTCCGGTCGTTCTCGCGGCGGTGGCGGCGGCGGCTTTAGTCTGTTCTTTGGTTCTTTCGGTAAAGTGACGTATAAAGATAAAATAATAAATTAAATACTAGCATACGACGTTTCGATTGCAACACAAAGCAATCGTCATCAGGTATAAATGAAATAGAAACACAAATCTAATATACTTAGAAATGTAATGTAATACAACAGAGAGTCGGATAACATAACAGTCAACACACTCTCTGTTGTATTACATTACATTTCTAAGTAGACTAGATTTGTGTTTCTATTTCACTTCTACCTGATGACGAGTGCTTGTGTTGCAATCGAAACGTCGTATGCTAGCATTTAATTTATTGCTTTATCTTTATACGTGACTTTACCGAAAGAACCAAACAGTAATTCCTGCAGTCACGAAAGCTCCAAAATTAGGCTTTAATTCTAGATTTGAAGCTTTCGTGACTGCAATGATTCATATTCTTAGGTTTTTTCGGTAAAGTCACGTAGGTAAAAAACATTAAAAAGTAAAATAAAAAAAAATACCACCTGAAGACGGAAGCTTGTGTTGCTTCCGAAACGTCGTGATTTTTATTTTATTTAACTTTTTAATGTTTTTTACCTACGTGACTTTACCAAAAAAACCTAAGAATATGAATTAGGCCTTAGTCTAGCCTGCCGTCAAACAAAGATGGCGGTTACCGCCATCGCGCGGCGCTGTCAGATGCGCGTCCGCGGCCGTCCGGAACGCTCTTCCTTTCCGATATATGGAAGTCGCTGGAGCCGTTCGCTCGTCAATCTCGATTAATAAACTCGCTTGTTTAGAGACGCGTTTTGCATCGGGTTTGTTGTCCTTCCCCCGCACCTCTGATTAGCACGGTTAGCTACGTCCGGTGCGAAATAGGTTCAACACACACATACACCTCCTCCTCAATGGAAGTCCAATCGGATGTGTATGCCCGACTATCCCTACCATTCTGCTTTTTAATTTCAAACCCCAAGCTGTCACCTCGGCTTTACCGGCGTGTCCCGCCCAAAGGCGACGTTTCTTCAGTCGCCACCACGTTGAACTCTCGCGTGCGTACGCGCGTTACCACGTTTCGTCTTCCTGCCTCGGAAGTGCAATTTAGAAGCGTTCCTCGGTGCGGCCGTCGCAGCTTTTGTCCCATTTTCTCTGCGGTGCTGCCCGAGTTCCCGATCGATTCGCGCCGGAGCAGGGTGCGTAGCGACCCGCCGATTGAAACGCTCTTCGGCGCACGCTGATTTGTCGACGTCCCCCACTTATCGCTCCGCGAAACCTTGACGCTTGCGCATTCTCCGGACGCTGGTCCAACTTAAAATGCCGGTTATTTTTGTTGTCGTCTTCATTCGACAGGACGAGGAAGTCTGAGTTTTCCAAGTTTGAGCTGGGCAGCCCAAAGGCGGCGTTTCGTATGCAGAGCATAACCTGTTCGCCCAACATGCCTCTCAACAACAGAGGTAATGCATTCTCCACACCTCCACATCCAATGCCTATAGCAAGAGATAAAGGCGCAGCCCTGCAATGTGCCTGCTCATGTCACTGCTGGCGGAAGGGCCTCCAGGTAATTTTGCCTGCTCTTCAATGCTGGCCCAGACGTCTTGGAAGAGGTGGGCTGTGTATTTGGAGTTTGCGTGTCTCTCTCGCTCTCCCCGTGGTCGCGTGGATTTTTCTCCGGGTCCTCCGGTTTTTCCCCTCCACATTCAGAATCAACGTCGCCACGCGTATTCACGAGTGTTTGGCTGCTGTGAATGATAAGCCGGCTCATAATGACAAGCCACTTCATTGAGCTGGCATTCGTGACAGCGAGGTCGCTTCTGAAAAAGAGCTAGAGAGCTCAGTGGGGTGTAAACCTAGGAAAATTAAAAAAAGCAAGTTTAATAAAATGTAGTTGTTATATATTCCATGGTCTCTTCTGGGTGACCACCGTCACTGCACACCGCCTGGAACATTTTTACATTTTCCAAAGAAAAATTGGTGGGATCAACCCACATTTCACCCCACCACACGCAACCCCGCAGCCCCGCCTAGCGGTGCCATACCCATCGATAATGACGTCTGGGTGGACAGAGGCAGAAGGGGGCGGTGGATTCAAGAAACTCAACCCCATTTGTTTCACCCTCTCTGCGCCGGGATTTTTTAAAAATCGAACCGGCGACCTTTGGGATCGCGAGCGCCCGGCTTGACATAACCGTTGCACCGCGGTTGTATCCCACAATCTCGGGTGGTTAACGGAAATCAGACCTCCCCCCCACCCAATGTTTTTTGGAACCTTTGCCCCCCCCCCCTGCCCCGCCCCCCAGTGCTCTGCTAAGCTCCTTGAACTGAGGTGCACTTTGGTCACAATTTTGCCAATTGCACAATTTGTAAGACCTCACCGTATCGAAGGCCGAAAACGCTTACGCCTGGAATCTGTGCTTGGAGAGCAGTGTTCTGGACCCTTGAGGTGAAATCTCAACCCTCGAGTGACCTGGCACAGTGGTGATGATGCTGATGCTGATGATGCAAATCAGAGATACTGCCCATCACGGATGGCAGTATGTACGTTGAACTTCGTTCGCACCGTACGTTCGCCAACCGTGCTAATCGGAGGGGCGCGGTGGCACGGTGGGTAACACCTGTGGTTCATAACAAGAAGGGCACCTTTTCTGTGTGGAGTTTGTATGTTCTCCTCCAGTCCTCTATGGGATTTCTCCTGGGTTCTACAGTTTCCTACCACAGCTTAAAGCTCCGACGTTGTTCCCCGTACCGCAATTGCACAATTTTGTAAGACCTCACCGACTCAAAGGCCGCAACTCACACGTGGAAGAAAACTTTGCGAGCCTTCTTAAAGTCCAGTTATCTCAGACCTTGAGATGAAATCTCAACCCTTGAGTGACCTGGCACAGTGGTGGTGATGATGATGATGATGCAAATCAGAGATACTGTCCATCTGGGATTTTAGCTGTGGCAGGAAACAAGAAATACCGGGATAAAAATCCCATAGAGAACAGGAAGAGAACATACAAACTCCACACAGAAAAGGTTCCCGAGTTAGGAATGGAACCCAGGCCCTTCTCGCTATGAACCGCAAGTGTTACCCACCGTCCCACCCAGCACCTCCGATGAGTACCCGTGCCTCCGATCAGCACGGTTGGCTACGTACAGTGCGAAAGAAGTTCAACATACGTGTGTACTTAGACTCACACAGAGACCCATAGACTCGCGCAGAGACCCATAGACTCACACAGAGACACATAGACTCACACAGAGACCCATAGACTCGCGCAAAGACCCATAGACTCACACAGAGACCCATAGACTCGCGCAGAGACCCATAGACTCGCGCAGAGACCCATAGACTCACACAGAGACCCATAGACTCGCACAGAGACCCATAGACTCGCACAGAGACCCATAGACTCGCACAGAGACCCATAGACTCGCACAGAGACCCATAGACTCGCTGAGATACCCATAGACTCACACAAAGACCCATAGACTCGCACAGAGACCCATAGACTCACACAGAGACCCATAGACTCACACAGAGACCCATAGACTCGCTGAGATACCCATAGACTTGCACAGAGACCCATAGACTCACACGGGGGACCCATAGACTCACACAGAGACCCATAGACTCGCACAGAGACCCATAGACTCGCGCAGAGACCCATAGACTCACACAGAGACCCATAGACTCGCACAGAGACCCATAGACTCGCACAGAGACCCATAGACTCGCACAGAGACCCATGGACTCACACAGAGACCCATAGACTCGCACAGAGACCCATAGACTCGCTGAGATACCCATAGACTCACACAAAGACCCATAGACTCGCACAGAGACCCATAGACTCACGCAGAGACCCACAGACTCGCACAGAGACCCATAGTTTGTTGTCCTTCCCCCGCACCTCCGATTAACACGGTCGGCCACGTGCGGCGTGAAAGAAGTTCAACGTACATCCATACGTACGTAACATAAAATAAATCTACATTTGAGTCGATGCCCCCCAATACAATATTTTTTGACCCGCCTGCCCGATGCCCTCCACCCCCCCCCCCCCCCACCCTCACAGGGTTTGCCAAGCGGCGGATGAGCGCCCAAGAGACGGTGAATCGGAGCGAGGACGAGTGGCCCCTGGGTGAGTTGTGGACGTTTGTGGACGCGAACGTTCGTTCCCCCTCCCACGCAGACGCCTCCTTGCTGCGATCGACCCGTGTCCACCCGCGCCCCGCCTTTCGTGCTCGCGGAGAGATTGCGGTCGGCCAGGAGGGCGACTTTGCCCCACCCCCCCCACTCCGGGAAGACTGGGGCCTGGACCTCCCTTGCGCGTCGACAGCGCGGCGTTTAGAGCGGAGATATGCGGCGCGTGCGGTCGCGCATCGTGTAAATCTTTATTTGATCGGCGATAAAGCGTGCTAAAAAAAAGCAAAAGCGAATGGGTGTTGAAGTCATTCGTGGCCGAGGGGATAAGAAGAGAGAGAGAGCAGAAAACATTTTCAAGGGAAAACAAAATTGGCGCTTGGACAAAATCACGAGAATTGCCCCAATCACCTGATGAACCAGAAGCTTGCCACTGATCAACAATCACCGCAACTTCCCTTGGTCAAGTTCACCAAATCTCTTGTGGAGACAAATCTGTGAACGGACCAAAGATCCCCCGTATATCCTGGACAGACTGTTGGGACAAGTGCTGTTAGTGAGCCAACACCACGCCCGGCCGCCTTTGTCTTCCCAGTGGCGATGTTTACACACCTCACCAGGTGCTCATTTTAGACTGGGTCGACCTAGGGGGAGGAGGACCCATGACCGGTTCAGGATAATCGTCACCGGTGTTGGCCGCGAGCGGGAATCGAACTCGGGTCGCCGGGTTCGTAGCGCAGCGTAGCTCTAACCGCCGCTCCACCGCTCCCCACCAACGGGGACCACGCTCCCCCTCACACGCATGTCAGCGCTTCCCTCGCGGCCGCTCGGAGATGCTCCGGTGCAGCCGCGTGATTTACGCGCGATACACGATCGCATGACCGGAGCGCACAACCCGCTCAGGCGTACGGGCGAGAAACGCGGGGGAGCGGCGGCTGGCACGGAAAGCTGCAGAAGTTTTGCGCGAAAGGGGCGCCCGGGAGGGACGCGCGCGCGCCTGCAATTCCGTCGAGAGACAGAAGGGAGAAAGAAGAGAAGAAAAAACACGTAGATCGGAAAATGGACGCCGCAGGTTGATTCGGTTCATTCGAACGGTCGATAAAAGACGAGTTAAAGGGCGTGCTTGGGCAGGGACACACGTCGCCAGTAGCGAAGATTGCCGGCGGCCGAGAGCAACGAACGCCGCGTCCGACCTTTGACAGGCGCTCGCTAAACAACGCTTGACCCCCCCCCCTCCCCCCGTTGCGTCCTACGAGACTGAACGAAGAGACGTTCGCCGGTGTGTTGTATTCTGTCCGTGCGTGTGTCTTAATTGCTCACCTTTGCAGGCTACAGACGGTCGCGGCTCAGCTCGCAGGAGCTGATAGACCGAAGCGAGCATCCCTGGCTGCAGGGTGAGGAGAAGGGAACAGGCGTCGTTCTCATTTGCGCTTCCCGGGGGATTTATTTTTCTCGTACCCCTCATAACGAGCAAACATCATCCGCCGTCGTCCATGAGAATACCACGGTGGTCGAGATGTTGACTACCTCGCCTGGTATACAGGAGGTCGTGGGAGTTTGGATGTCTCTCTCTCTCTCTCTCCCCGTGGTCGCGTTTGATCCCTCCACGTTTAGAATCGACATCAGGCGTATGGAGTTGTTTGGCTGCTATAAATTTCCGCGCGATAAGTCACTTCGTTGAGGCTATCGTTTGATGCCAGGTCGCTTCTGAATAAGAGCTACATAGCTCAAGTGAGCCTTACCTGGTAAAATAAAATAATAGTAAAAAGTAATAATCTGCTTCTGTGAGCCATTATCTAACGTCAAGTGTAGCACTGGTGAAAATTAGTAAACAATTCTTGATCTCATGATGTGATGCCGACAGCACAGCCGGTGTATACAATTGGGAACAAATGACAATAACAACACGCGCTGATGCTGCAAAGCATTATGGGAAACGCAATAATACTTTTCGCACCCTGCGCTGGCGTGCGTTGGCAGCCCATAACAATTTAACTCACCGGTTAATCTTTAATTTAAAAACATTTCAATTGGCATCGAAATTCCCTGACGAGGACAAAATTTTTACTTTTAAACGGCCGCGAAGCTTTCGTTGTAATTCTATCGGTATATTTTTGCACCTTGACAATTAACGTTGGCAAAGTATACTAATAGGGGTTTTCCCTTTTTTTTTGGCAACAAAACTGACACCTTTTGCAAGGAATCATGCTTACATTAACCACAATACTTGCAGTCAAATGCAAACAAAAACAATACTCTGATAACATATGCATTGTCTTTGAAACTGATTGGTCCACACCAGAGACACCTTTCTTTAGAGCCTAGTCTCATATGGTGTTCGACCAGATGACGCCAAAAGGCGCACAGTTCAAAGACAACGCACTACCAGAGTAATGAGAGCTCGGGCTGAGCAATGCATAAATTATCAGAGTATTGTTTTTTGTTTGCATTTGACTGCAAGTATTGTGGTTAATGTAAGCATGATTCCTTGCAAAAGGTGTCAGTTCTGTTTCCAGAAAAAAGGGGAAAACCCCTATTAGTCTATTTTGGTACTGGCAAAGGAGGTCCCATAATGTTGGCCAAGTAATTCCCTTGGTCCCAACGGAATCGGGATACTTATTTATTATACCGGAGGAATCCGTTGAGCTCGCAAAGCGCCAACGCCTCTCCCGTTGTTCCCACTTCGTGCACCTCTAGAAAACGGCCGAGGGGAAAAATACCCTCGGCAGCTCCCGCCAGCGAGCGGTCAGTTCCCATGGACTTGCGGTCGATGATCACGTCGCTCATTATGAAACTGTCGTTTTTTTCCCCGTTCCGAACCCTGCGGATCCACTTTGGGCCACTTGTTTCTTCGCCAGGCTCTTTCATTTCAGTGGGAATGCTCCATCTCCTGGACTTGGCTTATCCAGCTTTGGTGTGTTTGTGTGTGCGTGGTGGTGTGTAAGTTCAATACCTGGTAACGCATGCTCAATGTGAAGTTCATCGTCGTCGTCGTCGTCGTCGTCATCATCCCGTGCAAGCAAATGATACTGAGCCATCGGCAGATCGCGGTGTGTTTTGCCAACAGCAGTGGCGTAGTTGTAAAGTATGCAGGCGGTGCAACTGCTTTGGGACCCACAGGTCCGGAGGTGCCCAGGTTGCCGGATTATAAAGAGGGGCAGAAATCAAATGGTGGGGATGGGGGCATTTAATTCCTTGTCCCAGAGCCCTCGCCAACCACTCCTGCACCACTGCCGAACAGGCATGCGCCGCCGGATTGTCAGGCATGTAACGATTCACTTCCCAGCGTTTACAAATGAATTGTCGCGATTGAGAGTCGTGATTCCGTTCCCTTTGTGTTACAGACTCATTAGCGTTGTCTCTCTCTCTCGTATGTAATACGCGAGTCTCTCATTTGTAGCTTTGTCTCGTCGCATTTTGTATTGTCTCATTCTGTCGTTCTCTGTCTCTCTCGTCCCCCGTTCATACAATTCGTTCTGTCTCCTTTTTCCCCTGTCCATCTTCGTTTGCGGTCTTAGCTTCTTTTCCATTGTATCGTTCGTCTCGTCTGTCTCTTCTCACGTGCCTGACGGTGCTGTGTCCCACGTTCGCACCTTCACTGGTTCGTTCATGTAAGCCCCACGCGCACGTCCCATGTACAATTTCACGAAAAATATCGAGTCCCTCGTGCATCGTCAGCCAAAAGGATCGATTTTGATCGACGAATCGAAGCATCGTTACATGCCTGCTGGTCGCTGATGACTCTAGCGCGCACGCACGCACGCGTGCTTGCGACGTACGTTGCCACGTGCCCGGACACTACTGGCACAAGCGGCAGGCTGTCCAAGCGTAGAAACAATTTAACTATTTTTTTTTTTTGCAGAGCTGATCTCTCATCGCTTTGCAGCATTTTCGGGACACCGTCTGTTCTCCCGTAACGCGGCGGGCGGGATAGTTGCGTTCCTGACGAGCACCTCGTCATGTAACAATCGCGTTATAATAAATAAAATATAAAATAGCGGGGTAAAGCGCAATCCGCGATGACACCGTGACACGCGTACGCAGGCCGAACAAAGACTGAGGCGCTTGGGGGTAGCATCTAGAAGCATCCAGCAGCATCCCGACACCCTTTTGTGACGCCAGACTGAGGCAGCTGCGCAACCGCCTATTCCGACTCGCGCGACGGAGTTTCCGTTCGCCGAACGCGTCACATATCCATTTCGCATCCGCGTTAGAAGCAACAACGCGTTCTCATGCACGTTCATCTCGTCGTTTACCCCAATTCGCGTCGTGAAAGCACGCGGCGTTACGGGAGAACTGACTGCAAAGCGAAAAATGCCGAAACGTATTTTTCGACTCGGTCTACGCCGTGAAAATCGCTACGCGGTGGTGAAAGCGATTTTAGAAACACGGCAGCCTGCCGGCCGCTGCTTTCGGTACGGTGGGCATGTGAGATCCGTTTGCGCGTACGTGTTTTACCCGGGTTATACGCGGGTGTGCGCGTAACAGTACAGGTGTCGCGGGTGTTTTTCGCAGGTGTGCATGCTACGTGGTGCACAGCGAAGGGTTAGCTTGGCTGTGTGGTGTTTTTTTGTCTGACCTGTACAGGTGTGTGTTTTTAAGTGCTACAGGTGCATGCCGTACACACTGTGACGGGTTGATAATACACACAGGTGCTTGATGTATTGAGATGCATGCCTCCTCTCTAGGCCTCGGCAAGGTAAAAGTGTAAAAACAACGAGCCTACCTTTACCCTACCTTTCACCTTACCACAATACAATCACTCTACCCTACCTTTTACCCTTTAGCAGGTAAGGTAAACGGTAAAAAGCAACGAGCCTACCTTTACCCTACCCTTTACCCTTACCCCTTGGCATGTCGACACCTTTACCTTTACCCTTTTACCCGGTAAAAAGGGTACAATTACCTTGCCTTGCCGAGGCCTACTCCCCTCTATAGCTTTATCGATATACAGACTCGTGATGCATCCAGTGCAATACCCTATGCACCCACACACACTGGTGAATGCTACATATGCTGATATACAGTACCATACGTCTTGGATAATTCACAGGGTACGTTCCTTTTTTTTGCCCGCGGCTAAATCTCTCCAGAATGCCTCCAGATCTCCGGAAGCGAAGCAATTTCTCGAGGCTGTCTTTCAGTGTCAGGAAGGGTGACTGCCATGCAGAACAGCTGCTATAGGCTGCTTGTGGGGTTTTTTTTGTGTGTTTCTTGTTGATGCCCGGCAGGAAAACACGTTGTTGCACTTTTAATCTCCCACGGCTCTACGCTCTACGCTCACCCCCGCCCTCACCAGCCGGCCAGTGTCCGGCGTGGTGAAGTATGGTCATTGTAATCGGCACTTCCCACCACCGGTTTAGGGCCTCGCCGATAGATAAGCACCATCGCAACGCTCCGTTGGGGCAGGGAGGCCGTTTGAAGTCGCATGACCTGATTGGCTGTCGCCCGGTCGGTTACCATCGCGTGACCTCGTTGCCACGTGGCCCAGTTGTTTGTCACGCGGCTTCATCGGTTGTCACGTGAACTGGTCGGTTGCAACGTGGCCCCAGGTTGGTTGTCACGTGACTTGTTAGTTGTGATATCACCTTTTTTAATGCCTTATGGGTGTTGCGTTGGCCGTCGGTCAAACAAATCTTCGTCGGTCAACTCGTAACAGAACCAGAATCGGAATATTTGTTTATGCTGGAGGAATCTGACGAGCTATAAAGCTCTTTTTCACAGATGTCCAGTCGGGGCAGGTCAGGAAGTTGCAACAAGAACAAACAATACAAACGCACAGTAGCAGTGTAAGTATAGGAAAGGTAAACAAATCACTTTTTAAAAATCTCTACAAATAAAACGAAACATTTTTTTTGTGTCTTATCAGGTAAAGCCCACACTGACCTATTAGCTTCTTTTTTCGGAAGCTACCTGGCCACGAATTATAACACCTGGGCCTGTCCCGTCCCCCTCCTGTCAAAGCTAGACCTTCGACACTTCACGCGGCCTCAAGGTGCACCTGACCTGGCACAAGCGCCACCACTCCGCGACGAACGGCGGCCGCTGCCGCCGCCGTTATTGTTGTTGCCGTCGCGTTGTGTCTGCCGTGCTCCGTCACGTGACAATCTGAGAACCTCGGGCCCCCCGCGTTTCCGTGTCCGCCCCCCCTCCCCCTCGCCGGCCGTGGCACCGCGGGCAGCCTGCTCCCCCGGACACCGGCGCTCCCAGGATCCGTGCGAGCGCTCCGCCGACGGCGGCTGGTCGAGCGGGGAGGAGATGTTCAACGCGTCGGACGGGGAGACGGAGGACGTCGTGGACGAGCAAGCGAACCCCGTGAGCAGGACGTTGCGTTGTAGCTCGTCGGCCGATGTTAGGAAGCCGCTCGGAGCTACCGACTTGTACAATCCCTCTCGTTGATTCACGCAAACTCCGGTTGGCGGCCTTTGGCTGGCCACCGAACAAAGACGGTCGCCGCAGCGCTTTCAGATGCGCTTCTGCGGCCGTCTGGAACGCTCTTCTTTCCGATGTTAGGAAACCGCCGGAGCTATGCATTTCTAAATCATCTAGATAGAAAACGAATTTCTTTAGAACTGATTGTTGTCCTTCCCCCGAATGGCTACGTATGGTGCGAAATAAATACACACGTGAACAGAACGTGAAAATTAGCTACCGCTTTGGCACATCGGTGTGATGGCGAGTAAACCCACAACATGGACAAGTGATTCTGGTAAATCACCTGATGAAGCTGGTTGTAATCACCAGCGAAACGTCGAACTCAATTGTAAATGTCTCTCGGCTTTAGGTCAGGAGAATGTTCGCTACACAAGGGCACCGCAAAGTTTTGGTGATAATTCTGCTGCTGTTGCTGATGATGTTGCTAGCTGGTGATGCCACTGACGATCCTTCTGACGATGCTGTTATTGATGATGTTGCTGATGCTGACAGTGCTACTGATGATGCTACATACATACATCCAACCCGACCTTTGACCCCTATCACCACTGCCCCCCCCCCTTCCCCAGCTGCCACCATCCCCCCTCCACCTACCCCCCCTTTTTACACGAGGAAGAAGTTTCAAGTTTTCAAGAAGGAAGCTACGGCCCATGTGCCGGATGTGTTCCGTGGCGTAATTTAAAAAAAAAGTATTTAACACAACCCGTGGTTGTCGTTTTGCACGACCCTCGGAATCCCATTTCGGACGTTCCACGGCCGCATGAGGCCTGCCGCTTTGAAGCGATTGTTTATCCGTCGCTGCAGGCATCTCATTGGGTACCAGAAGGGGAATATTGGCAACAAGAGCGCCATGTATCTGGGTGCCTGACCGTTGTGGGTGCCCCGATCCAGGGTCTACCCCTGCTCTGAAGTTTCTTTCAGGGCCCTGCGGTGGCTAGGAGATGTTAACTCCCTCGCCGGGTATACAGGAGGTCTTGGGTTCAATCCCGACCCTGACGCCTGCTATATATTTGGAGTTTGCGTCTCTCTCTCTCATCATTATCATGGTGACTAGGAGATGTTAACTCTCTCGCCTGGTATGCAGGAGGTGGTGGGTTCGATCCCGACCCTAACGCCTGCTGCTGTATATTTGGAGTTTGCGTGTCTCTCTCTCATCATCATCACGGTGACTAGGAGATGTTAACTCCCTCGCCGGGTATGCAGGAGGTCGTGGGTTCGATCCAGACCCTAACGCCTGCTGCTGTATATTTGGAGTTTGCGTGTCTCTCTCTCATCATCATCACGGTGGCTAGGAGATGTTAACTCCCTCTCCTGGTATGCAGGAGGTCGTGGGTTCGATCCCGACCCTGACGCCTGCTGCTGTATATTTAGAGTTTGCGTGTCTCTCTCTCATCATCATCACGGTGGCTAGGAGATGTTAACTACCTCGCCTGGTATGCAGGAGGTCGTGAGGTTCTATCTCGACCCTGATGCCTGCTGCTGTATATTTGGAGTTGGTGTGTCTCTCTCCCCGTGGTCGGATGGATTTTCTCTGGCTCCTCCGGCTTTTCCCTCCACATTTAGAATCGACGTCGCAGCATTTCGAGTATTTGGCTACTGCTGTAAATTCCCACGTGATGCTGATGATGATGATGCTGATGATGATGAGCCACTTCTGTTGGGCGATCAGCTTGCTACTGAAAAAGAGCGACATGGCTCAGTGGGCCCTCACCTGGTGAAATACAAATAGTTTAGCTTCACATTTGATCTGCCACGTCAAGGCAGTGCCCCACTGAAGGACTTAAATACCACAGAGCATCTAAATACTGCATATATACTTATTTATTTTGGCATATACATATACACACATAAAACGTCGAACACCCGCAACAAACACCGCAAATGATTATTGTTGCGTAACTGATAAAGGATGAGGTCATGGCTTTAAGAGTACACAGTACACTTGACGACCACACCCTTAGCAGTAAACCTAAACACAATGTACGTGCGTGTGTGTGCGCGCGTGTGTGCGCGTGTCTGTACGTTGCAGATCTGTAAGGTGTCCGACATCTGCTAGGACGGCCGGTCGTTGAGCCCGGCTCGGCCGCTCGCCGGCTCGGCCTCTCGTGGCCACCGCCCTTCCCTCGCCGCACCGCACCTTCCTCGCACGACGCTGCCACCACGGGTAACAGCGACCGCCGACGACAAAAAGGCCGCGGGCGTTCCCTCCCCAAAACCCACGCGGTTCCCACGCGGCGGACGCGCCGACGACGAGCCGTTTAGTTTTTTTGTCGTCGGGGAATTCGTCGTTGGAGCGTGCCGCGAATCTCCCGAGAGACGAGCCATTGAGCCCCGTCGAGCTCAGCTGAGACGGAGGTGGACGCCGTAAAAGAGCCCCCCGCCGCCCCCCGCCGCCCCCCCCCCCCCCCTGCACCGTCTTGTCAAGAGAATGGCTGGGGAGTGCAAGCCGCTTTCCGATTAACGGAGAGTTTTCGGCACGCGGGCGGATCAGGACCGCACAAAGTCGCACGCCGCATGAGGTTCTGCGGCCGTGACCTCCGGCGGTTTTTGGCCCCGTCGGTGTTTTGACGGCGCCGGGTTCACGTTCGCCGGATCGCGAAGAGTGCCGTGGTTTTTGTTTTCTTCTCTTTTTCTTTCTGCCGGACGTTTTGGTGAACACCGCTTGTTGGACTCGCGGACACCGGAGTTTACGTCCATTCCACTACAATCAGAGACTGGTGCTCGGATCCGATTTAAAAGTGCACTTTCTTTCCCACCCGGCTTCCGCGCGCGTGCGCGTGTCCTGCTTGCGTCTCAAGCCTGCTTCGTCGCGCTCGATGTGCGTCGAGCCTGCAAGGTGGTGCACGGCTATAATCCAATCGAATCGTCGTCGAGACAAACTCGTGCAGTAAGGTGGAGTTTATTTAATCGCCGAATGAAGAAGAAACAAAAAATAATAACAATGCATATTTATCGGCCCCAAACTGGCCGTTCTGATGAAAATGTTCGACACTTTTTGTACCGGTTTTGTACTCTTGTAAACTTTCACCTGTATTTATTCTTGCATTTACGCCAGGTACCCCTTGCAAAAAGACACCACCCTCCCCCCGTATTAGCAGGGCTTGCTTGGACTGGTTTCAACTTCAGTGAGCCTGCTCAGTCAGGTGCCGCCTCGTACACCGATGCCACGGGGGGGTGCCCTGATGAAACTGGCAGGAACAGCAACAGACGAGGGATGATTAGTGCCCACACCCACCTTGCTCACTTACCGACTTTATCGTAACATTTCGTCCGACGAGCGTAGCAAATTAATTCTAGATTTGAAGCTTTCGTGACTGCAAGGATTCATACTCTTAGGTTCTTTCGGTAAAGTCACGTAGGGAAAAAATAAATAATAAAATATTAATAATAAAAGATTAATGATATTACTTATATTTTATTATTTATTAATAATAGATTATTTCTATTATTATTATTTTATTTATTTTTTACCTACGTGACTTTACCGAAAAAACCTCAGAGTAGCAAATTAACTTTCTAACGGCAAAACGGCTGCGTGTTTTAAAATCTCAAGGAGCACCGCGCTACAGCGAAAAATGTAATCGCCCCCGGTCTCTTTCTTCACGGAAAAATCTAATCGTTGTCATCGGCCACGGGACAATCCGCCGTCGGATGAGGGCCCCCCTCCCCAAGCCGTCGCCATCACTCGCGGCGTCCGGCGGAGTCGCAGCCTCGCCAGGCCCCCTGCGCAATGAGCCGCATCTCTGCGGTAGGCGCCGCCTTGAACGTTTGGAACAAAAAAAAGCAAGAGGGCTTTGGCAGGGGCACATCGCTGGAAGGGATGAAGTGCGGTGGTCGAGGCTGAACATTCAAAATATATTTAAACATATCGGCCAGGCTTATTTGCTGCTGCAAAGCCAGTAGGCCCAAAATACTGGGAACATCTTTTTTTTGTTTAATGGAGCTACGGAACAGAAGGTGATTAATTTTAAAGTGGCCTGTTTGGTTCCGTGAAGGCAAGGACGGTGGCTGTGCCGTTGGCTCGTATCATTGCGGTCAGTAAGGTCTGTTGCAGAGTTGTTATTTTTTGTTTGCACGAAACGAGCATTATTAAAGCACTGAAATCAAACGCAATTTTGACAAAAAAAAATTATACGCCCCCAATTTATCCTGGTGGGAAAATAAATCAAATTTTATTTTTAAAGTCAGAAGAGATTTCCTGTCCAAATGAGTATTGAGGCACACTGGTGCTCCATCTCCCGTTTACAGCCCTGAGCCAGTGGTAGAAATTCCACATTCCTATGACGGGCGGAAAAAAGTCTCTAACCATCAGACAACCAACCTTTGACTTGCACGCAAGATGGTACTCGTATATCATGGGGCTGAGCCAAGCCCGAACCAAGGAGTTCTTCCCATTGCAAGTGGCTCACTCTCCCGCTGAGTTACATGGCCAGTTAAATTTCTTAAGATGGAACTTTTAAAAAAATTACATGTATAAAATGTGTATCCTGTAATGACAAGGTTACGCTTGCGCAGGGGAAAATCTGTCTTTTTTTGTCTTCTATCGGTGCTCTTTATCACTTTATATACGCAAAACACCACTATTTCTCTGACATCTTCCAGCATCCACTGTTAGCTCAGGATTTAATCAATAGAAGCTGAATTCCAATGTTCTCTTTGTACTTGCGGACAATATGCAATTCACCTTTTCTCAGCGCGTCCTTGTGGTTAACCTTTTATACATGCCGACTCTACCGTTGGTTTGTGTGTACGTGTAGGTGTGTTTCTTTTATATATATATCTCACAATACGTAAGTGTAACTTATAAATATTGCAACGTGTGTGTAGCATACATGTGCGAGGAAGGTCTGAAATACGCTCGGAAATTAGATGTTTAACGTATGCGTAGACTCCCATGCGTCTTGTTGTAAATTATCGTATGGTATTGTGGAGCGGTGACGTGGTAGTTCGCACCCTGCACTACGAACTCAGCGGGCTAAGTTTATTTTGGTCACGGCTAACATCAGTTACGAGTGATATCTGAACCAGTCCTGCCCCCGCCCACCCCAGCACCCCACCCACTCCTCTCCACCTTCACCAACCCAGATTGAGCAGCGTGGTTAAGTATGGTCAAGCAACGACTGAGTCGCCCCAGCGCTTGTGCCAGGCTAGGTGCGCTTCGAACCTATCGCGTGAAGTGTCGAAGGTTTGCCCGCTGGCAGGTCACAGGGCAGACCCAGGCGTGATGCGTTTCACTCATCTCAGATGGCTTGACAGATGATCAGTCTCCCATTCAGCCATCGACGTCACGCGGGTAAACACGTCATTGGCCTCGCCCCTGGCCCTGCTTGGCCCCGAGCTAGAATCGGTGTCTTGTGAGGCCAGCGTATCGCAGGGGGTTTTTTTTCCGGCTCGTCAATTATACCGTAGAGAGAAGTCCAGCCGTACCGCAAGGGCCCCTCATTGGCTAAGCTTGGCTTGGTTCTGCGAGTAGAAAAAAAAGGGGAAATAAAATTGGTTAAAATGACCGTGACCATTTATTAACATCTCATTTTCAGAAATGTTTTTTTGTATCTCCACTTCACACATATATATTGTGTGTGTGTGTGAGCGCGCGTATGAATAGAGGCAAGTGCGGTTAGTGAAGGCTTACTAACGCGACGTATCTCGCTTGCTTACAGGTCACACCTGTGAGCTCTTTGTGTCGTGTGTATCATTAACCGTAATCACTCATGATTTGTAAATAAGGCGAAGCGGTGCCGACGGATTTGCTCGCGTTGTATTTATTGTGGTGGGATATGATTGCTGCTGTACAGAACTGTTAACATTTGCATCAATCAATATTCGACAACATTCGTAGCGTATGAACAAAACGGGGGTGGGGGGAGCGGTGGCGTGAACGGGGGGGGGGGGGCGGCGGTAGTGGGCAGGCTGCGTTTATTCTGATGTCGAGAACGGTGACTGGAATTGTCGGACCTTGCTCACCCAGCGTCTGTGCTGAAGAGGCGCGACCTCCGTTCGTCGATTCACGTCGACGAATCGATTGAGCGCACGACCCACGCGTGGGAATTGCGGTCGCGCGATTTAAATTCTACCGCGGAGTTGGGAGCGGCGGCGGTGCAGTGGTGTGCCCGCCGCGCTCTGAACCTCGCACTCTTGAGCTCAATGTCCCGGCCACAGCTGACATGAGTGGCGAGCGACAACTGGAAACAACAACCCCTCTACCCCCTTCACCAACCGGCACTGACCAACGTGGTGAAGTATAGTCAGACTGCATACACGACTGCATGGGAAGGGCCTTCATCCGGCAGTGGATTGACAGAGCTGTTAGTTTGTTAATATTTTGTAACATGTTGTACATGAAGCCCCCGTAGCTGCTAGAAACCACTGCAAAGAAGAAAAATTATAATCCTTGAATCGAATCGCAACGCCCACCCTATCGCGCGGTCCGGAGGCTGGGTTGTCTCGGCCATGCGGCGGCGTGGCGGATGTCATGCAGCGCCGCACGTAATAGCACAACCGCACGCGTGCACAGACAAACCGGCGTGCGGCGTGCGGCGTGCACGCACAACCTACACTTTCAGTCACCCCCCCCCCCCCCCCCGTAACGCTGGGTTCGTGCTGTAGCCGTAACAAATTTTTTTGGTCGATGGCTTCAGGACTAGAATTGGGCGACTCTCTGCCTGTGGTGCGCAAAACCGACAGTCGATTTTGACCTTCATAAATAAGGAAGATAATTCGGCCCCCTCCCTCCCCCTTACCTAGCATCGCCCGGCATCGTCCAATGTCTCGCAAACAGAAACAAACATCGCTTTCGGTTTTCCACGTTTGAACGACGTGGTGATTGGGGAAACTCATAATTCGTAATTGAGTTTTGAACGGTGTGCAGTGTGATCCGTTTATCGATGGCCCCGCTGATCTCCCTAATGAGCGTTTTCTTTCCCGACGGATGATTGCATTTTGCAAAAGCGATGCCGATGTCGGATAAGGTGAATCGGGAGAGGGTTCAAAGACTTGTTGGAGGCTTTAAATTAAAATGTTATCGCTCTAAATTATCCACGTCATTTTCGTGGAATAACCTATCAACGGATGATTCTGCATGAATCTACAAAAATATATATTTATAAAAAAATCTAATTAGAAATTATAATTCAGAATGGTAATTGCTTATCACAAACGACCACTTTCATGATGATAAAAAAGGTGGTACTGCTGTTAAAAAGCTGGATGAATGTTAGATATTTGGATGAATGTTTTTTTATCTGAATGTTATAAATTTGGATGCCAGTTGGATATCTGGATAAATCGTTGAAAATCTGAATAAGAAAGAATCTGGATAAATCGTTGAAAATATGGATGTTGGAAAATCTGGATAAATCTTTGAAAATCTGGAT